AGGAGGCACTATCTGTACTAAATATGAGAGAAGACAGCTTCACTGTTGGCACTGTGAGAGTTGTTCCATAGTAATACAATATACAGTATACTCCATCTGGCAGCTTGTTATACTAAGCTTATTATACTATGCTAATAAATGTTCAGCATTATTTGAAACTGTTTCAGAGAAGGCCTGATTCAACTGTATGAACAGGCGGCTCAAAAAAGCTGGTCTGAACTGTTGCCTCCTCACCCAGGCTGATAGAAGACTGGTAGAGAGCATCCTCACCAAGAGGTATTTCTATTATTTATCCTAGTCCCATATATAAAAATGTGACATCTGTAACCTTCATCAAGATTACAGGACTGTTGTATTAGGTTTTGTTTCAGATAGGTGAACCTAATAATCTGCCAGCATGACCTGCTGCAATTGTGCAACTTCTCTGCAGCTATGTGATTTGAACTATTTTGCTCTGTTGCTTTAAACTTTGAAATACTTTACCCTTACTCCACTACTATTTGACAGCTATAGTGTATAGATAAAGCAATGTTTCAATCCATTTGGCTTGTGACAAAAACAGTGTCTAATTTGGACACACTGTCACATTTCAGATGTTGAGGGATCACACTCTAAGCTTCTCACATGGCTTCATTTCAACTGCTCAAGATCTACTGGTATTTACAATCTAATTATGTTATCAGAATAAATACCTTTAGTTTAGATCCTTTAAGAAAATGTTGCAGTTAATATTTCTGCACTTTTAGTCAGAGTGCGCATTTTCCCCAACCAAAAACCATGGTTTTAAGACTAAGTGTTCTTTCTGGCTTTTGACTCCTTACCTGACTCCAAAGAAGAGCTGCACAAGAATTCCTGTATGCCTAGACTGTCTGTTTATGCATAAATGGCAAATAAAAAATCTTGAATCTTGAAGTTCAAATAAATGGATTTGTAGTGACAAAATCTAATTTTAAAATATAACATAATGTAACATGCAGCATAGGATGAACTCAAAGCTTTCCATAATATTTTGGTATTATGTAACACACCTAGTGATGCTGGTGCCAATGTCGGTGCTATAGTACTATGATGCTATACTCTCTAGATGGCCCTCCTCAGGGTGCAATGTCACAGTTCACTCGAATTCAGGTTGTTTCTCTTTTGTTTGTGCGGTGTTAAAGCAGAGCCTTGAAAGTATCTCCTGTGAACCTTTTGGTATTTTGCCAATTAGAAACTCTTTGAACACAGAAGCACAATTGTTCTCAGTGAACCCTCCTTTTGTGTGACGTTATCTTCTGTCTTATATTGAAGGACCCCTGGCAGGGAGCTCTTCTGATACCAACAAACTGAAGCGGAGACAAGGCAGACAAGAGAGTAGTCAAACGGGGGCTCTGGTGCTTGATTAGCAGCGGCAGGCTAGCCCTCCCTGCTATACTGCATGTCCAGTCTCTGGATAATAAGTTTTTTCCATAACAAGGTTCAGGGTCCGGAGGAGACGTCCGTGGAGGAGAAAAACGGTAGAAGGAGAGTGTGGCAGCAGAGAGTGGAAGATAGTACTGGTATGAGCAAGGAGATCTAAGGGGAAGTGACAAATGGTTAAGATACAAAACAACGATCAAACGGGCCTGAGAACAAGAATAAACTGGCAAGGCAGTGATAGGTGAGCGGGGTATAAGTAGGGATAGGACTAATGAAGTGCAGCTGGATTAAACAAATCCACACCCACTAATTTACATTCACTGCCAACATTCAGTGAAAAAGCAAGAAGCAGTGTACCCAATGAAGCAGGGTGGCATGTAGGGTTACAAAGCTCAAGGCACTGAACTTAATGCCCCACGTCATATTTGTGAGTGTAGATACTCTCAGAGTGAATCGAGCAAGTAAAAGCAGTCTTTGTCTCCCAGTAGTGATTCTGATGCTATCTGCCACCACTAATACCAATATTCGCTTTCCCCCAAAATTAAAAACCATATATTTCATAGCGTAAAACTTATTAGGACCATTTTTATATGAAGTAACATAAGGTAACAACAAAACAGCTCCCAGACAATTAAGTCAATCGCACTACTCACCTGTTAAAGCTGCTGTTGTTGGATTATGAGAGACATGTCACACACTTTGTTTTGCTTATTGCAGCTCTACTTTACAATGTCTGGGTGTTTTGTCCTTCGGGTGGATCAGTCTTTGCCGCAGGGTGTTCCCTGGATTAAAGTTGACTGGGACACAAACTTACACATTCAGGGTATCCATGAAAGCATGGACAAAAGGGAAGCCCAAAGGTCAATACACAGAAAACACAGTCGGAGGGTTAGCCAGTACTCGGTAGTCACAATGTAAACCGGTGTCACAGCTGGAATCACAGGTGCAGGTAAAACAGTGGAAAGTCTGAACAAGAGTTAGAACAATCTGGCAGCTTCTTGGTGTGGGGAAGCTGCCTATATGCGGTTGTAATCAGGTGTGAGTAATGAGAAGCAGGTTACCTCTTACCCAGTCAGTCATTCCGGAGACTCCATTTCTTATCTAGTGCTCCACATGCTTGGAGCAGCTGCGTTTCTACCTTGTCATAACAAAGGACAGAATCATGACAGGTTTGACAGGATGAACACAGACACCCCCTCAAAATCCCCCTGCAACCTGGGGGACATTGCTTTTCAGGTGATGTAAACACAGGTCCTGAAGGCCCTGAAACAGGTAAACCCCCATAAGGCAGCAGGACCAGACGGTGTCCCCCCTAGAATGTTGAGAGCCTGTGAGGATCAACTAGCTAGTGTGTATACAGACATCTATTAATGTTTAACAATTATCTGACTTACTAATATCTAACATATGCTCTGAATGGCTTCAGGCCAGTGGCGCTCACATTAGTTGCCATGAAGTGCTTAGAGAAACTGGTCCTCACACACATTAACCACATGGTCCCAGACACTGTAGACCCTTCACTTTGCCTTATGACCAAAAGGAAGAGAAACCAGAAACACGAAGGTGTTATGGTTTGTCCCCCTCACCAGGAGGGTGAGGGAGAACTGAGGCTAGACTCAGGATGGCTGACCCAAGTGCTAGTACAAAAAAGGAGGTTTAATAGAATAAAAACACAAAGTAACAACAGAGGCAATAAATAATACTAAAACCAGAGTAGGGCAGAAACGGCTGAATAAATCCCACCTGTAACTGGATTCTGGACTTAGCAGGAGGATGAGGACGGACAGCTGAATGGACAGGTTAACCATGAGGACAGACGAACAAAATGCATCACAATCAGGACAGACTCACTACAGAGCTGCTGTCTCAGCCCCAAACTCTTCACCCTGTACACCCACGACTGTGTCTCCAACCATGACAACACCATCACCATTAAATATGCTGATGACACCACTATTCTGGGCCTCATCAAGGGGGGAGACAAGTCAGGTTACAGAAGCTTGTTTATGGAGAGGATACCACAGGAACTGTCAGCGTGGAAAACAAAATACGTCTGATGCATACCACGAGTATAGGGCTGTTACGTGGTATGCACGTGACAGTAGTTAATGCTCCGGCGACAGCGGAGCATCTACCAGAGGTTTAATTTAGGAGGAACAGGTAAATACAGTCACTGAACACAGCTGTCACAGTGAA